TCTCTCTCTCTCTCTCTCTCTCTCTCTCTCTCGCTCGCTCGCTCTCTCTCTCTCTCTTTCTCTGTCTCTCTCCCTCGCTCGCTCTCTCTCGCTCCCCGTCTCCCTCTCTCTCTTTCTCTCACCATCTCCATCGACCTAAAAAGTCCTGCCATGCTGGGTTTGCGTAGACCGTCAGAATGCCCACACATGTACGCGATCTGTAGTCAGAATTCGCGCGGTGGCGATTACATTGGGTTCAGTCATCGCGAACGAGCTGTATCGTGTGATCCAACAGGGATTTCTCTCCGTGAGTCCGATGTGTGATAGGGAGTCTATGACGTTCGGGGCCATTTGATCGTGACGTTTGATTGGGCCGTGTGATGAAGGCGGAGATCGCCTCTATGTCGTGTTCTCTCTCTCTCGCTATCTCTTTATCTCTCTTTCTGTCTTTTATCTCGTTCGTTTCACTGCGCTTGTCTGTGTCGTTCACACAAAGTTTGCGAACATAACTGACAAGCGCAGACAAACGAACGAGACAGAACCAACAGCGTCGTGTTCCACCACCATCGTCGTCAGTTTTCTATCAGTGCCTCTATGTCGTTCGTCTTTTCCATCGGCCTGCTTTCGCGAATCTAGTTCCATTGGCGACCATTCGCCCCGATCAGATGGCACACTCACACGTCCACGTGGCAGGTCCTGAACAAGCGTGGGCTCGTTGATGGATGCGGGGCTCTATGCGGCAACAAAATGTTGTTGAATAGAGCCCCGCACCCATCAGCGTGGCCACGCATGATCACGACTTGATACGTGGACGTGTGTGCCATCGTGTTCAACTACCATCTTCGTCCCCGTCGTTAGTTTGTCTTCAACGCCTCTATTTCGTTCCTGTTTCTTTCGCGAACGTACCTCGGGGTGCGTTTGCGGATCTCGTTCCATTGACGACCACTCGCCCCGATCAGATGGCACAGTCAAACATCCACGTGTCAGTTCCTGAACAAGCGTGTGCACGCTGATGGATGCGAGGCTCTATGCGGCAGCAGAAAGGATGCTAGGTTGCAATATAGCCCCGCACCCATCAGCGTGGCCACGCATGTTCAGGACATGACATGCGGACGTGTGAGTGTGCCATCTGATCGGGGCGAGATGAAGGAGTTTCNCCCATCAGCGTGGCCACGCATGTTCAGGACATGACATGCGGACGTGTGAGTGTGCCATCTGATCGGGGCGAGATGAAGGAGTTTCAGGAGCAAGAATGCATGCATTTCATTGGCGATCACTCACACCGATCAGATGGCACACTCAGACGTCCACGTGTCACATCCTGAACAAGTGTGGCCACGCTGATGGATGCGGGGCTCTATCAGATCATCGCCACACATGTTCAGGAGTTGTCACGTGGACATGTGAGTGTGCCATTTGATCGGGGCGAGTGGTCACCAACGAAACGGGACCCGCGAATGCAGCCCGAGAATGTTGCGACACGCACTTCCAGATTGTATCGTCACTTCAGATGTTTTGTTGAAGTGTTACTCGCTTGTCGTCAATTTGTTGTCTCTCTCACGAACTGCGATATAAGGATTTCAGTCGTATGTTGTCGAACAAGAGAACATGGTTTCTCACGAATCGTGTCTCTTCTAGATTGCACATGGACTTTCTTCTCGTCGAATAAATTTTTATCGTGCTCGGTTTGTTTATTCGTTTTCCGCGCAAGTCGCGTCGTGCAGTTCGCTCGGCGTTCGGTTCTGTATCCATAAAATGTCCTCCACATTCATCGAATTTTTCACATTTTTTGCCAATCTTCCTCTCGCCGACACGAACAATTTTTTCTTAAATTTCTTTTGTGTCGTTTTATTAACGGTCACACTGCGAATTCCGAAATGGACAACACCATCCGCAGGATCTGCATATGGAGAGACCGAGAGCTAAAGACAGGCTCTCTCGCTGCGCATCCTCTCCTTGTCGACGTCTCTATCGATCTTAGTCTCCCTTCCGTGTCTATGCGGGTTTTTTGCCTTTCTCCAATCTTTGTGTATCACAGATAGTCGCTCAACCGATCTCAGGTTGGTCCCCCCTTGAGTGCAATCACAGATCAGTAGTCCGAAGACTGCTATGACAAATTTGAAGACACAGAAGGCGAACGTGAATTCAAATCTTTAAACCCTATCAAACGTCGCGTCAGCCGAACGCCGCGAGGAACCCTTCCCTTGACTTGGACATAGGATAAGACACAAAGCGATCAGATGCTCATAGGGTATTGTCTACGGCGACATGTTTGACCAACCAGGAGGACGACAACCCACGTTGTCCATACCATCCTGTGGTGGCGCAACAACTGACGTATCTGAGCCATCCTTGTTAATTTCGGTTGCATCCGAGTCACAACCCACTAAAACTCACGGGGCGACCACTAACCGAGGCACCTCGGCGAAGTTCGGATTAATCCGAACCACACTGACGGCAAATTTGGATTTGTCACATGCTCAGACGGTATTTACGACGCCGCACGTTCCCATAAACGTGAACGACGAAATCACACGCTGTCAAAAGACCGTTCCGTCTCGGATTAATCCGAACCACACCTCCGACAGGATAGGGTCCACTCTCTGCTCACAGGTCATTGAGGAAAACACGTCGTGCCAATGTCCTCCTCTTGCGGTCGGCCTAATTCGGATGCATCCGAGTCACAACGTCGGTCTTTCGACTGTGCCCAGTTCGGATGTGTCCGAACTACCACGCTGTCTTCGTCTTCCAGAAGCTGCCTCGGATTCATGCAACTAAAACGAGTCGAGATGGTTACGCTCGGTGGAAGAAAGACGAGCTAGAAACTTGTGCTGCGACTACAGCAAATGTGTCTGTTGTTTGGATTGGACGAGCAACAACCAACTAAAACTCACGACGACGACGAGATCCAGCGTGATGACGCACAGATTATAATGACACACTACAGCAATCGCGGGGAGGTCCGCTGTGTGGTGGAGCGACAACAAAGCGAAGCGCCTCGGCGAAGTCGAATTAATCCGAACCACACCAGTGGCATTTTCGGATTTACCACACGCACAGAGGGTATTGACGACATCGCACGGTCTGATAAACTTGTACGTCGAAAGCACACGGTGTCAGCGCAGCCTGTCGTGGTCGCACGTATCGGGACAGCCTCCGTCGAAATCGGATAAATCTGAGCCACACCCGTCTTAAACACTCAAGGATGAAGACACACTGTGCGAAATTCGGTTGGACCCAACGACAGTTGGGGAATAACGGAAGCTTGGATGGCTGGATGGGCGTCAACAGACCGTGGGGTCCATCCGCCGGTCCCTGTCTCGGATTAATCCGAGCCACATTTGCGAAGTTCAGGTTCAATGGAACCGAACCTCCGGCACGATAGGGTTAACCCAGTGCTCGCAGGTCGGTGACGAAAACACGTGTTGTAGATGACCTCTTGTGGACGACCGTTTCTGGACCGCGCTGTTCGAATTCGGATGCATCCGAGTCACAACCGTTACCGACTGAGAAGGACAAGAAAACTCGAGTTCGGTTTCGTACGGGCCGACAGGGGGAGGTGCACACCGCTTTGGAGCTCGGATTCATCCGAACTACAACGGCAGACTATACAATCCACTTGTCGACTTCGGATGACAACGTATTCGCCTTCGTCTGCCGTATCAGCGTTCTAGGGCCTTCTTGCGAGGTGTTGCTTTTCCTGGGGCAGGTGCCTATGCGACATCGGTTTTTCGACTGCGCCTGCTTCGGATGTATCCGATCTATCCCACGGTCTTCGTTTTCGAGCATTCATTCTCTTAAGGGCAGTGTGACAAGGATGGCTGACGATGCCTCGGATTCATCCGAAACGTGCAGGCTTGTGGACCACTGTCGTCTAACTATGACTGAACTTCGTTCTTTTGGAGTCCGGGTGACCGATAATAGAATACGTGCCGTGGGTCGTGGTTGATGTTGGGAYGTGCTGACTRTTCTGAGTGAATGTGGGTTCATTTCCTCCGTGTGTTTCAGGGAATGGCTTCACACGGACGAGGCCGCTCCGCTGGTGGTTCCGCCCCGCAYGGAGAGGAGCGTCGAGGGACGACGTCGTCGCCGGCAAGGGAAACGAGTCGRGGAGTTGGAGGTGGGGAGGAAGAACGACGTGCTCAAAACTTGTGGTGCGACTACARCAAACGTGTCTGGTATTTGGACTGGGCGAGCCAGGACGGCTCAGACCCGTTGCAACCACCGTGCGAGCCGCTCTTGTTCGTCGCCGTTCGCAACGACAGAACGCGTCTCGCAGGGTCCATCGTCCGGTGGGTCGACGATGGCAAATACAATTTCAAGTTTACGTTGAAGAAACATTACAGAAGTGATGGTTCTGTCGACGACATCGCAAAGGGATGCAAGGTTGCCGGGAAGATGCTCGGCGGGTACGGCCGTCGTGCGATGTCTTTGCCTCACTTTCTCCCACTAGCGCCGGGGCAAGACGAGGCCGATCACGTCACAGACTTCCTCGAGGTCTGGGCAAAATCTGGTACCTCTGTCAGTGCCGTGGACGTCGGACCTGGAACATCGATCAGTGGTCCTGTTGGGTTCGCGGGAGGAGAGTGCTCTGAAAGGGAGATGGGAGGTCAGGGTGGCCTGCCAGCTACGCCTCCTGAACAAGAGGTGGGCATGTCAGACGACTCGGAGGACGACCATCGCCGTGCTCCTTTGAAAACGGGCTTGCATGTATCTCGCCGCCACGGTTTGCTTGGGGAGTCGACGCCACATGGAGGTGGCGATGGCGAACGGTTGCGACAGGGCTCAAAATCGACGACTCCTCGTTGTCTGGTCGAAAGGATCGGTTCGTTCGTTCGTGGCATGCAGATGGCCGAGGTTTCGCCTGGAGATCGAGCGGGTGGTGCGCAGGTTCGAGAGGTGCGTGGGTCAGATGAGACGACTCGCCGGGCCCGACCAGCGCCGGGGGAACTGCAGACGGAGTTGAGCTAGGAACGAGAAGCAAGTGGGAACGTCGCCGGTGAGGAGGAGGTATCCGAGCAGGGGCTGTTCCGTGAGAGATCGACTGAAAAGACTCAGTCGGGAGGCAAGCGCAACTTGCCGGATGAGGAAGAGCGAGAGGGACTAGGTGCTCTGAAAAGGCAGAGAAAGGTAGGAGGGAGTGCTCAGACGCCAACAACACGAGAGGGCGGTTCCGTTGAGAAGAGGAGAAGGGTTGGAGGTGGGGATGAAACGCCAAAAGACTCGTCGACACAGCGAAGAACCGGTGAGTCTTCCGGGAAAAGGTCGAAATCATCGAGGAGGAAGAAAGCAGACGAGGGCGATAGCGGGGAGGGGGATGACGACGTGGAGATTAACCTCAACGCCTTTAACCTCGACAATGCGTTCTTCCTCGAGATGCAGCCAGGGGTGCAGAAGGACGTCGTGTTGCACATCCATCCCGAAAGAATATTAGCTATTCCTGACTGGGAAGATGCGTACAACCACCGATCCTTGGACGAGTTCCTCGTTGATACCATCGCGTCGGCTATGATGGACTGCTACGAACGTAAAGACATAGATACACGAAGCCCATTTTCGTTCTCGCTCCGATCGTCGCGCCTCCAGAGAACGACGAGCCTGCTGTGCGCGTGCTGCCTGCTGACTTCGACAGCTCACACCCGGAGAGATACTGGTATTATCCTCTGTGTGGACAGCATAACGCGAGGGCGGCGATGATGGTGAAAGACCATCCCGTGTTTGATTACTACAACTTCTGTAAATGGCCGTTCAGACCGATCTACTTCCCTGACGACAAGTTCGACGGCTACGCCCATGTCAGTTGCGAAGACAACATGAAAGACAAGAAGAATCCACCGTGCTTGCAGGTTTTATCTATGCGGGACATTCGCAATATCTGGAAAATGAAGGGCAAACCGCGTGTGGTGCTCGACAATGCCTCGAAGAAACAAGACGAGGTGCGAAAGTGGGTGCGGTTCATGGCGTTGGCAATGAAGAAGACGCCGTACACGCCTATCTGGAACCAGTCAACGGAAGCAAAGAAAAGAAAGGAATGGGCTGAGAAACTTCGATACTACCTCCCGCTGGCCATGGCAGATGACTCCGTCTTCGCTTTGGGGTTGAAGTTCTATAAGGAGTGGTCGAAAGGGAAACTCCTTGCTTCCAACGGCCGGCGTTGGACTGAAAAGCCGCCCACCCATGAGGAGGTGGCCAAGCGAGGACTCTCCACTGTGACTGACAGCCAGGGGCTGAAGAAACACGTCTGGTACGTGAAGGTGGACGACCCGTCGTTGAAAAAGAGCAGGGTGAAGCCAAAGAAAGGCGCGGAGGAGAAAACTTTCTACGTCCAAGTTCCAGAGCCGGATGTCCACTGCTGGACGGAATTGGTGGACTTGACGGACCACGAGAAGAAAAGGTTGTTGAATGGCGTCTTGAACCTTAACGTCGTGTGGGTTCAAACGAGTAGCAAAAAGTTGGTCGAGCAGGGGAAGTTTAGTGTCAAGGAGATGGTCAACATAATAAAAATGGACCAGATTATGCTGAGGCTGTGGCACTACGTGGAGTTAGAGTACAAGGAAATGGATAAGCGGGAGTGGAATGCCAACTCCACGTTCTTCAGGTCCAAGAAGCAACTGTTCGAAGAGTTCAAGGACAGAGGTCTCGACGACAAGCTTTGGAACGAGAGCAGGAAATTTTTCACGGACACCACATACGTCAACAAGTGCCCTCAGTTTCTCGGGTGTTAACACGACAACAACATCAAGTGAACGGCGGCCCTCGTCAACGACTAGCATTTCCCGGCGGAGTGGAAGCGTGTCGTCCTTTCGATGATCACTGGAGATCGCGCCAAAGGCAAAAAAAAAACTCGGGGCGTTGATGAATGCATCAACATTATGTGGACAAGGACAAGCGCCTTGACGACGCTGGCCCAGTTTAACGTCAACCCGTTGAGTGCCATAGATCATAAGCAGGCGCTGGGAAAACTAGGGCATCAGCTACGCTCCCACACTTGCGTGCTCGACTTGTGCGGTGCTGTGGACCGTGCGCAATGGGACTCTAGGGCATTCGCGTCTCTGAGTGAGTTGCTGGGCTTCGTTTGTCAGGACTACTGGACATTGGTGGTATTCGTCCCCTGCCTGTGGAACCCCTCCTTCATGACATGTTTGTCTGCGCTTGGGGCTACCCGATGCTACACGGGAAGTGGGTTCGGAAGACGGCATCGAAGAAGACGCATCAGTTCAGAAACAACGTCTGGGAGGAGCCGGATGTGATGCACATCCTTTTCAAAGGCGAGGATCCTCGGCTACTGACTCACCCGGTGTACGAGGGAGCTATTGTTGAAGACGACGACGCCGCTCTCCGGAGGAAACAGAAAGTGACACCCACGGATATGGAGGAGAAGTCTTTCAAGTCTTTGACTTTCGCGGACATCGGAAACCTGACCCAGAGGGGGGCTCTGTACAAGGACGGCGAGCGGAATCCGAATCAGTTGTGCAATCAGCTTCTTTTCTTCTGTGGTGTGGCAGATGCCGTGCTGTTCTTGGGCAAGCCGCACGCGCAGGTGGTGTGGAGTCTGCTTCAGCAGGGAAGGCACGTCTTGGCCGTGGATGGGGACACAACGCAGCTCGAATACACCATGCAGTATGTCACTCATGAAGTGTCGTCCAAGGCTTACCCATGYGATTTCCACCATGTCGTGGTCGAGCCCGTTTATGACCCAAACAAGGACATATTYTTCAAGTTGACTCCGAAGAAAAGGCGCCAGGTCTACTCCTTCCTTTACGGYGAACAACCAAGGTTGAGATTTGACCCGCAGTACGTGGTGCGGAAGGAAGTCGCCATTGCGGTCCTCCAGGGCTACCACGGAGCGAGTCGGGCCGGTGTTGTGAGCTTCATTAAGAGGCTGGAATATGTCTTTTTTAACGAGGATGTTGTCGATCCGGCCGACTTCACTTTGGATAAGTACAAGCTGGCATTAGGTGAGGAGGACGACTTCAATATCGAGACCGAGCAGGAGGAGAGCGTTGAGGACGACCTCTTGGATTTGGACGGGCAATTGGTCATCTTCAACGCCCAAGTTTTTGAGTCGCCATCAGTATGCAAACCGGGGACACCTCTGGCTACACCTACCTCTGGCGGTCTCACGCCCGTGTCCTCCTCAGCGCCTGTCAAGAGGGGTGGGTTGTCCCATCTGAGGAGTTCGCCGGGGGAGCTTATTCGTCTCACTCCGCAGCCCGAACGTCTTCGACCCGGCCATCCAGCTCCTCCGGACCATCCGCATCTCAAGGCTCCTGCGACTCCCTTCCACATGGGCGAGAAACACACCTTCTCCACAGCCGAAGATTGGGGCCATGATATCGTGTGGCACCCAGACCATTTCCAGCCAGTCCTTCTCGACGGCGAATGGGCAGTGGCTGTGAGGGACGTAAGTAGAGGGTGGATATATGACGATCATTGGGACCTCGAGACATTCAAATCTCGTGCCTACGATGCGGTATTGGAGAGATTAAGTGAGGTCAATCGACGAAATAAGGACGACCCTGCTCTTCGCGAATACGGGGACACGCTGTTCGAGTTCTTGCAGTCAAATAAATGGCTAGAAGTGTCCTCCGCGTTCTACGCCCTTCCGTCAAGCCCGTCAATTAAGCAAGTGAGTTGGGAGTTGCCTGGGGTCACCCCGCCGGCAGGAGTTGTGAAGCGCAAGTCTCGCGGAAAGGACGGCGACGGGGATGGTGAAGGCGGCGGGCAACGAGGTACCGAAGGTGGAAGTGAACAGCGATCGACGAAACAGCGGTCTCCGGGGCACGCAGGCGGCGGAGAGGGGAAAAAGGGCACCCGGGAGAAGAAGAAGCGTCGCAGCGGAGAGAAGACAAAGCATCACAGAGGAGACGGGCAGGGGTCCGGTGCCGACCGCGACGAGGACGGTGGGGTTCTGGCGGTAACAGGCAGCACCTCAATGGAGACGGGGAACGACTTGAGGCCTAGGTGTATTACGCGGCCTGGCGAGCAGGACCCTGTGATTAGCTCCACTAGCGAAACACAGTTTGTCGATGCGGTTGGCGGGGCGGGTGTCGCAAAGCATGGAACATGCTTCGCTCAACTCCAAATACGGTTGGCAGATTGTCTCGGATCAATCCGAACCTCGGAGACGACCTCGTTGTCCGCAACTCAGTGCCTTCCGGGAAGCGAGACGACAACATACCATGGGTTCGGCAGCGACAATCTGGAACCGTGTTCCGGATTAATCCAAACCGCGAAGGCCGTGCCATCGAGGGAGCACAGCTGTCTACAGAACTCGAATGGGTGGTCCGGGTTTCCGAAAACCCTGGCGACGAAATTCGGATTCATCCAAACCAGGAAGCCGTGTCTGCCATGACAGACGATCGGTGTCAGGATGTAGTAAGGCTCTGCGTGGAAGCCTACAAGGAGCTGTAGGCAGACTGTCGGACTGAGGGTGAGTTGGCGACCAGTTCCAATGTCGAGCCCAACACACTCGGAGCCGAGTTAGCAGTCGTAAGCGACTCCCCGGTGAAAGCGGTCATGTCGACGTCATTGGAAACTGCGGGGGCTCAGATGAATCTGAACCAGGGCCCTGTGAACATCTCCCTCCCTAATGCATCTTTGGAGACGACCGTGATTCGGATTCATCCGAGGCACACGGACGAAGGACTTCAACTGGCAGACGTTGAGGGTTGTCGACTGCTGACGACTTTGGACAAGGACAATTTCATCGACGACCGGATTGATCCGACACTCAGCGACGTCGGGATGGAGCTACCAGTTCAGTCGGGATACGACGATCCCTTGTACTCCGCCCTTTACAACGAGGCGATGGGGGAGGACGTTCTGAAGAAGACCTCTGACGCTGTTGGAGATAGATTTCTCTATTTGAGTGACGACGACAAAGACACAGCGTACGGGGACAAGAAGTTAAGGGGGGAGAGGTGTTGTTGGACATCCATGGGACATTGAGCCCAGCACAATACGACACAGTGGCAATGGAGAAAACACAACCTGTCGATATTGTGGACGTCGACCATCTTTGTCCGGAGACGAGTATACCATCTACGGTCATCGACGCCGACATCTCGAGCCTGTTAAGTTTCCCTGTGGGTTTGGAGCACGTCGTCGCCACGTCGACGCGCGCAGGGGTGCCAATCGTGCTGGGACTGCCGTCGGTGGGCTCTGGTGAAGTGGTAGCTAGGCCTGGTAAGCACTGACTTTCTCTGCTTTYTTCCCGCTCGTCAGCCCGTTCGTGAAGTGTTGTTTGCTTCGTCRATTTCGGGGAGGTGTATAGGCGGCCGCCAACTGGATTGTGRCGATGTGCTTCGTGAGGTGCTGTTTGCTTGGTTGCTCTTGTGAACTTGTGTTGTTGATCTCCTGCTGAACTGTCTGGGTGGCTATTTCTTGTACAGGTCGACGAACTCGTGGACAAACACCCATGTCGCAGGAGCCGCCTGCCCTCGCCAGGTTTTCAGTCCAGGTTGCGGAAGGCACTGGTCGTCGCAATGTCACTGATGCGTTCCCTGGGGACACTAAGCCTCGAGGCCCTCCCAGAAGGGTAGTCATGCCCGTATTGGGCTCCCGCGCAAGACTCGTTGCAGAGGCAGCGGGTGTTGCCGAAAAAGACTGCAAGGAATTCCTTCTCAAGGCTTGCAGGGATATAAAGGACAGTGCTAGCTTATAATCAACTGTGTGTAGAAGGTCCAGAAGTAGGGGTGACGTTACACGTGAACTTTTCGGACCACAGAGTAGCGGTTCCTTGGACCATGGCCGCTAGGACGATATTTTCTCATAGTGCACCGTCCTTTGTGTTTGTTGTGTGTTGCGGGTGTTTGTTGAACAGGGTTTCCTCGAGATGGAAGAGCGGTCCTTGAAGACGTTATCTGCTCCCGGTTGCCGCTCACTATCATCGTCGCGCGTTTGCCATCTCACAGTTTACAGGTATCCGTCAAGGACATCGTCGCACTCGTGGATAGATCCGGGGGGCTCAACGATAAGGTTGTTAATTTCTACATGGCGATGCTACTGGACGACTGTGGTCGGACTGCCGCTACCATAAAGACATACACCTTTAACTCCTTCTTCGCCTCTTCACTGCTTCTGCGAGGTCCGGCAGCTGTTCTCAGATGGGCTAAAGATGTCGACCTCCTGTCTCATGACCTTGTCTTGGCACCAGTGCACAAGGACGGCGAACAATGGAGCCTTTTGGCCATTGACTTCTCTAGACGTGTTTTGGAAATCTATGATTCTTTCTCGTGTTCGTCATCCAAAGATTCTTTCTACTCCGCACTTCTGAATAAAACTGTTAAATTTTTTAACACGGTGGCAGGTGCCGCCGGTGATGGTTGCACTTTCGACCACTTCGCTCGCGAGGTCAGCGTGAAAGGTGTCCCTCGGCAGCACGACGGGGCTAGTTGTGGGGTGTTCATGTTGATGTTCGCTTCCTGTTTGGCGAGAGGTTTACGTCCACCTTTTGGTTTCTCCCATAGACGCATCTCCTCTATCGGAGCTAGACTAGCTTTGGCGATTTGCAATGTTGGTAGGTAAGCGTCTATCTCTTTGTTGATCATGTAGTATAGAAGGTTTGACGTAGAAGAACATTTCGTTCTTCTCCGGACGAAATTTGTTCCTTTTCATTTTCTTCGTGAGGGACTGGTGGGTGTTCTCGGTTTGGTTCAGAGCAGAATTGGCTGTCACTGCCAGGAAATCTCCGGGTGAACTTGTCATGTCCCCGGCGTGTTTGTCGTCGACAATATTGTTCTTTCTCATTGGATTTTAATTATCACGAACGTCCCCGTTGTTGGGGCACCTGTTTCGTGATTGAATATCTCGCTTTCGTCATTTTGTGTCTTGTGTGGTGTGATGTTCAGCCCGCATACTCGGATGCATCCGGACTCGAACTAACTCTATGCTTTTCTGCCTCTCTCCCGAACCTCCCCCGTCGTCTACACTCATCTATTCATTTTCACTTTGAATGTTGTGAGGTGTCACAGAGAACAAAATACAACACACGAGCCTCTTTATACATTTGATGGTCCGTCTGGCCCTCCGCACTGTGTGCTTTGTGATTCCGACATTGAATGCTGTCAATTCTTTGGCCCGGCAAAGCTCCCCTTCTGCACGAGCATTCATACATTCAGTTCCTATGCATTACCCAATACAATGAAAAATTTGAATGTGCCGAGAGGGAAAACCCAAAAGGCGACGCCAATGGCTGCTCGAATGTGACGAGATTTGAATTAAGGTGGCGCGGCTGAAAATACAATTGCATGATTGGACAAAATTGGATGTGGTGACG